TATAGCACAGACAACCAGGGCTGTAAGCCAGACCCCTTGGAACCCTCAATATTTTAATGAACCCTTTTTTTTTAATGTTAGAGTTCAGGAATTATAACAAAAATAAGATATAAAAAACTGTATTTAAATATTTTTTTGAAAAATGTAACTTATTTAAAACATAAAAGGCGTTAAAGTATTTTTATTGGTAAAATATATATTTTTTGTTGAATCGTTTTTACTACATTTTTACAAAGTACTCCATTTCAGGTAAAAATTTTACCAGCATATTTTGTAACTTTTTTATAATTAGAGAATGTATAAATTTTGGAAATATTTATTTTTTGGAATTATAAATGTACGACCAAACAAGAATGAAAACATAATCATAAGTTAAAATGGATGTAACTCGGTTACGGTTAGTGATACGGATATCCGGTTTTGAGAATATCGAAGCGCAAATTGTATGCTACTTTATTGTCGAGTTTTAGAACATGATCTTTCTTATTTTCGGTTTTGGCAAAGAACACTTTCTTATTTTGCTCATAACTCACTAGCGGTTTGTTCTGCTGATGTCCGAATAGATGTGCAATTAAAACTCTAAATAATGGCATAACTTTTGTCAATTGCATCTCAAGTCCTTCAGATTCACGGACCAGTTAAAAATAGCTTTATTAAATACGAGTTGCGATGAACTGTCAAAGTTAGGAGCTGTTCTGACAATTTCACGGACCTTGATATTTCGCATATAATCTAAATTATAATGATAAATCATTTTTATGGTAAGGGGTAAATTAAAAAAATAAAATTTATATAAAAAAACTGATGCTTCTGTCCCTTTTTACTAAATTTTATAAGTTCTCTGAATTTTTCTGGACCAAGAACCCGAACTTTTTTTTAGAAGGGTTCAACAGCTGTTCGTGTTTCAAATCTTAATTTAGGTGAATTCCGGATAGATTTTTAACTTGAAATTTGTAACTAAAATAGGTTTTTTATTTCTTTATTATACAACTAAAAATTAAAATAAATGTTTTTTAAAAAATATTTAAGTTTTCTTAAACATTAAATGTGATAATTTTCTTTCTTTCTGAGAAGAGAAGAGAATAGTGATGTTAAAGGGCTCGTTTTGAGTCTATTTTTAAAAACTGCTTACTCAATATTTTAGCTAAAAAAATGTTTCCCTAAGCCCAGAGATTTCGATAATGTATGACTTGACCTTTGTTCCTTTCATGAACAAAATTTTTTAGACTTGCGTAATATTTTTCTGGATAAAATATTGAGTTAGTCGTTTCCAATCGGCTCAAAACAAGCCGTTTAACAACATTATACTGTGTCTAACTTTGAATTCCTTAATTAAATACAAATTAAGATTTCCTAGATTTTGAAAAACAATGGGTTATCATATAATAACGATCGCTTTTATCAAGTTTCTTCCGCCGGGGTAATGGCCAACATTTAATTCATTATCTTGTTCAAATTTTTATAATATTTATCAGAGGCATACAGGCCTGCCCGACGAGTAAACGGATCGAGCGGTTATCTGAAATTACCCGGGCCAAGGCTTTAATTTTTTTTTAGAAAACCCCAGTCAGGGATGAATATTACAAATCTTGGATATTTTCTATAAAAAATTAAATCAATATACATTTAAAAATTGTATATCATAAAACAAATCAAATTCAATTCACTTGTCATATTTCTTATTTCCGTTTTTGTTATTCCTTGGAAATTATTTTTCAACTAATCATTCTTGTTAAACTACCTAACTTTAGTTAACTTATACATACAACAACAGGGTAACCATATTTTTAACCAATAAATATTCCAATCATTCTTCGAGTTTGAGACTCAACTTTAGAGGCTTATTCAATTTTTTAGGGCTAAAAAACCTTAACTAAGCCACAATCGAGATAATTTAGCAACACTAATTTTAAGTGATATTCAATCAAATTGAAAGTAACAAAAGGTAGACACTTAAATATGTAAAATATAATACGCCATTTTAAGGGGAAAAATTTACTTTTGAATAAGTATCATTTTATCCCATAATTTTCTCTCTAATCCCAAATTCGGATAATTACGGTGATGTTGCCACGGAGAGAGAGCGCAAAATGACTGACACTCATATAGACGACTACATTAAATTTTACTAGAGGAATCCGGAAATAGGGGAATTACCGTCGGCACTAGTCGAGTCGAACAGAAAATATGGCGATCCGAATTCATTCCCTTTTTACGACAAATGGGGAGATAAGATAATTCGGAAAGTTGTTAAACATATGGATTTCATATTCGCTGAAGAACTATCCTTAAAATACCGAATAAGTATATTTAAATTCGGGCCGTGCTGAGCCTAAAATAAAACCCGGTCCGAGCCCTAAAAAAGTTTAAAGCCAACCATACAAATGGTACCTCTGCGGGCCTCTAATATTATTTGAGGGGTTAAAAAATAAGGATTATGGCAATTGTCTCTTTTCTATGGTACATCTTCACTGAAATCTTAATCTGTTTATATATAAATATCAATCTCAGGTAATATAAATTACGCTCACTTTTTTTTCTCCATTATAAAGCAGGCTTATTAATCAAACTTAATTTATTCATCGAAAATTGTTTGCTGACTTGGCGAAGGCTGTGTGATAAAATCTTTGAGTAACGATTAAAAACGCTAAATTAGAGTATGTGTATATGAAAGCTATAAATTGATTTGAATTTAAGGTATCAGGGTATCTAATATGAGGACCAAGAGAACCCCACCTATAACGTGATTTTTTTTTCCATCAGTGCTGTGTAAGGCTTAAAATTATTTAGAATTATTACGTTCATTTTTAAGTAGAGCTAGCTTCCACTTCCTTATACAATTTATAAGAATCAAAAAAAAAAATCTTCTAAATCCTTTAAGGGGTTCGATTTTTCTACAACAAAAAAGAAGGTTGAGTCCTAGTCTAATTAGTATTTCGCTCTACCAATATTAAATAATAATATTTTATTGTATTTGAGGTCGGTGAAGTTGGCGGAACTACTTGATCAATTAACAAAACTTATGCCAATTTCTTCATAAATCAGTGACGTTTCATTTCCGTTGTTATCCGGACAGATGATCATTTAACGTGCTTGCTACAGTATGGTATAAGTTTCGGTAATTGATCCTCAAAGTCGTTCCGCCAGCTTCAAAATTTCACACTTTCCTTATTTAGCATATAACTTATTAACCTTTATTAATTCAGCTGGTGTCTGGTTTGAAGATCATCTAAGACTCCAAATATTGGCATAGGCTTTGTTAATTGATCATCAAGGGGTTCCACCAACTTCAAGGACATAAATATTTCTTAACCATTATTCAAATAAATAGATTAACAGTTAAAGACTATACATATATATATATACTATTTAACAAAAAAATGATATAAAATTTACAAGGAGGTAGGGTGTAACATTATTATGAAAATCATATTGGAGATTTCAACATTTCAATTTGTATTTTGTCTCTAATTAACAACATAATTACATCGTAAAACGCAGATAAATTTCGTAAAAAATATATTTAGTTTTTTGAGATAAAAATTAATTTTTTTTTGTGTTAATAAAAGACGGAATTAAAAATCCCCATGGAAAATAAGCTAAAATATTTTTTTATTAAGATATCCATAGATTATTAAATTTCTAAATATAACTTTTTCTACGATTACCTGAGATAATGTCGTGATGTTAGTTTTTATTAATTTAGTTTTTTTTAAATTATTATTATATTCAGAATTAAAGTTATTATGAAAATGTAAAATATGGGATTTACTTATAAAATTATTTTGATTTATACCAAGGTGTTTGTATATCATAAATTACAATTTAAATTCGTTCATACATTATTTTATTTCACGTTCCATCAGTCTATTTTTTTAAAATTAAACTATTAATTTGAAAAAATGTATATAAAGATGTTTAAATTCATAGATAGATATAGTTGTTATAATTTTGTTAAATTAAATTATTTGTTTATCAACTTCCCTGCCTACCATAACAGTAAATAATTCGCCATAATAATTGTTTTGCATTTTATTAAAAATGATTTTCGTTAAAGATAAAAAAAAAAATTTTTTTTTGCTATGCAAAATAGATATATAAGTATATAATAAGTAGACAAAAAATTATGAATATATTCTTATCAGAGACCTGCAGAGGTACCATTTGCACGGACCGGCCCGGCCCGGTTTTAAATTTTTAAGGCCCGGCCCGGTTTTAAATTTTTTAGGCCCGGCTCGGTTTTAAATTTTTTAGGCCCGGCCTGGCCCGGTTTTAAATTTTTTAGCCCCGGCCCGGAGATTTTTAAAAAAAATATTTACGGGCCCGGATATTTTTTAAAAAATTTAAGGCCCGGCTCGGAATTTTTTAAAATTATATTCGACCTGGTGTATACAAAAATTCACCTATGAGGTATTTTACCATATTTTTCAGTGAGTATTATCGCTTATTATTTAAAAAATACATGTAAAAAGCTAATATTTTGAGAATATTATATTGAATTTATAAAAATTATAAAACTGTTATTTATAAAAATGGATATTTTGAGCATATACTATATTTTATATTGCATTTATAAAAATAAAACTAATATAATTTATAAAAATGGAAAATATTTTGAGAATATAATATAATATATTGTATTTAATTTACTATTTAATTTATAAAATAAAAATAAATCGCTATTTAAAAAAATGCATGTATAATAAATAGTATTTTGAAAATATAATCTAATTGCACAATATTAATATAATTTATTTTATAATATAAATTTTTAATAAAAGAAGATAATTGTATTATATAATATTGTAAAAAAAAATAATGAAAAATGTTGGATTAAAAACTTTCATGACTCAAGGTAAAATATAATAAATGCAATAAATATTTAACAGTTTGCAAAGTAAAAAACCAGCATGATTGACGAAACCCTATACTCAAGAAAGATATTAAAAATTCACAAATTATCATAAAGAAAGAGAAGCATATCTACCTTTTCAAGTTGAAGATTACTTCTTCTTTCTTCAAGAATTCTCCCAGTAGAAAAATTCCGCTCACAGCTTGCACTTGAAGCAGGAATTGCCAATACCCGTTTTGCCAATTTTGCTAAAATTGGAAATTCGCTTTGATGAGCCGCCCATTACTCTAACAAATTATCCACCTTAAATGTTTAATCTATTTTTTTATTTATGTAATTTTAATATTCATCATCGGGTATTGACATATTACCAGAATTACCATCGCCCCATTTGTCATAAAACGATTCAGTTTGTTTAACAACAGTCGTAATTTGACTGGTCGATGGTATTTTATTTACTTCCGGAGCCTCTTGTAATTTAATATAATCTTTTATATAGTTTTCCGTCATCTTGCGATCTGTCCCTGACAACATACATAATTGCTTGAATTTGGGACAGAGAAAAAGAGAAATATAATGATACTTGTGTAAAACAAATTTTTCAATTAAAAAATGCTTTATATTAAGTAAAATCAATTTTATTTCTCCTTTTTCGCTTTTGAAAGGTATTACAAACTTCAAGAAGTGATATTCCTTTATTTGATTGTTTTGGTAAAATATATTCTAACAATTTAGATATGAATTATAAAAAAATATATTAATAATACTTGAATATTGGGGCGTATTTAAGATATTCCTTTATTTGATTGTTTTGGTAGAATATGTTGTAAAAATTTAGATATGAATTATAAAAAAATATATTAATACTTTGAATAAATTTGCAGAAAATTAATAATTAGATCGATCTGTGGGTGTTAGGTAGTGTTAACCATCACCCAATATTATATTAATCATAACTATAATATAATATAATCTTATAACCATTAACTCATAATGTAAAAATTTTTATAAAAAATATTAAGGCCCGGCCCGGGTTTAACAATCTTAGGCCCGGCCCGGCCCGGCCAGGATATATTTAAAAAAAATTTTTTTAGGCCTAGCCCGGCCTGGGTATATTTAAAAAATTTAAAATACGGGCCGGGCCTGCAGGTCTCTGATTCTTATTAAGGATATATTTTTTCATTTTAGATAATGAAGATTTAAGGCAATGGTGTGATATATTATTTATTTTGTAATTCTAATTTGGATATAAAAAACGTTATTTTATATGATAGACATTTTACGTAATTGATTTTACTATGGATATAAAAAAAAATAGATCTTATTTTACAATAATTAATCAGTTAATTGTACATGATATTGAAAGTTAAGTGAATTTATAAAATAATAGAAAACTTGTTTGCTTGATTCATAAAAAAAAATTTTATATTTAAATTGAGATAAATTCCGAGTAATTCTCATTTTTGACAAGATTTTTCCCCGCTTGTCATTAATTTTATATATATATATAATTCTTTTCATTTATACCATAATAAAATAAAATAAAGTTTTGGAGATCTTTAAGTTATTTAATTGTTGTGTTTCTGTAACTATGAATTTCAAAAGATAATATTTATAATTTAAATAATTAGTAAAAAAAAAATATGTTAACGCTTCAAGCCATACTTTTTATTTTTTTTAAAAAATATATCTATATTTAATAAAGAAATAATAATATTCCATCCGGAAGGGGGAGTTTATTAATCTTATTATTATTTTATATTAAAAAATTATTTATATTTTTTTTTATTAAAGAGTTAAACTTTTATCTATATGTTACTTTTATAAAAGATTTTTTTTTAATATAAAAAAAAATGAATATTATTCTAATTAAGAAGTATTACGATAAGGACTGGGGGGGGGGGGTGTATTTCGGAGAAGGGGCGTCTAAGGGAGGGGGGGGGTGCTCTCACCTAACCCGTCCTTTTTATTGTTAGGTCCTTTTCCAAGTTTTAGAGAGGCGGCGGAATAATCACCCGTGCCATAAATTTTTTAAAAAATATTTTCTTAAAAGTGTCGAATCCCTTTTCTTTTTATTTATTGTTGTGAAAATTAAAATTTTAATAGTGTCACACAGGGTTTCCCATTCAAAAAAGGAAAAGAGCCAATCAAGAAAGGAAAAGTTCCAACGCCTTGTGAAAAGGTTAATTAAAATAGGAAAGTTTTTATACAAAAAATGAAAATCGTTATAATATTCTTTAAAAAAGTCCCAATCAACAGAAGTGTCAATCAAAAAAGGAAAAGGTCCAATTAAAAAAAGGAAAAGTTTCAAAGGCTCCCGATCTAAAAAAAAGAAAAGGGTCAATCACAAAATAAGGTATCAATCAAAAAAGGAAAAGAAAAAGCTCAAGAAAAAGTTAGATCTAAAAAAGTAAAAAGGCTAATCAAATAAGGAAAGGTATAAATCAAAAAAGGAAATGATCCAATCAACAAATGAAAAGTGTCATTCAAAAGGAAAAGGTCCAATCAAAAAAAGGAAAAGTCCCAAAGGCTCAGGAAAAAATCCTATCAAAAAAAGGAAAAAGCGTCAAAAAAGGAAAAGAGCCAATCAAAAAAGGAAATGTCTATTTATTTTTTTTCTTCTTATTTTATTTCTAACTTTTTGCAATTTCTTTGAATATTTTTAAATCTTTTTCCAATTTTTTTTTCCACTAAATTTCTAAAGTGTCCAAGCAACAGCCAATTACATCGAATAGCAAGCTTTCAAAATATGATTTAAAAAATTTGATTTTTTTTTTAAATAACGTTTTTAAGATATTTTGTTTATTTAAATTATATTGCTTTAGTTCTTAATTTCAATCGTGATACTTGTTGTAAATTATACCAAAGTTTACTTAAACAGACGTCTCCCTTCTTAGAAAAAGAGTACCCCCCTAACCCTAAAGGGTTGGAGATGTATCCTAATACTAATGTATATCAAAAAATAAAATAATATTTATAATTGTTTACCAATAGCATGGAGGATTAAACTAAAAAAGTACTATTCATATATTTTGGTTTAAGCTTTAGAAAAGATTGCTAACAAAAGTCTGGCAAACTTCTACCTTAGGACTGCGTTCTTAATGCTCCAAATTTATATTAAATGCCTGAACTAATTCTTCTATTCAAACTATTTTACTTAGGGTTTAAATTAGAGGGCATTGGGCGGCTTTTCGGACAAAAACCCGCCCATTATTTATAAAAAAATTTTAACCCAGCCAGCTTATAAAATTTAATTATAGTCATTCTTTCATTTTTTTTTAAGCATCTAAAAAAAATATTTCAGCATTACACCTCTACTAAAAGTTTATAATTTAAGAAATTAATATAAGTATAAAAATAATCAATGTAAATTATGGACAATTTATTTGATCAAATTGAATATTTATGAAAAATATATAAATGTAAAATTAATATTAAATGTAATTATAATGCAAAAATAATAATG